AAGGCCAACCAAAGCCTCAGCTAAGGCCGGGGATGCCACCAGAGGTCCCACCCCACAGGGGGGGCGGGGGTGGGGGGGAGGGTACCATGGGGTGGGGGGGGGAGGGGGGAGGGGGGGTGTGGCAGCCCTGCATCATATATGTATGTGTATATATATATATATATATATGTATGTGTGTGTGTGTGTGTGTCCAAACTTGGCCCACACGCCTCACACCGGCAGGATACCCACTCCAAGGACGATCTCTTCAGCAGATTTGAGTCCGTCCAAATCGAGAGAGCGATCCTGGAAACCAGCGCCCAACCTCTCCCAGATGATATGGAGAACATCCAGGAGCTTCTGAAGGAGCCGGATGACAGCGAGGATTCCTCCTTGCTTGCGAGCTCCCGAGTTGCCGGGGTAGTTCTTGGACGGTCGACCCCTGGCACTGGACCACCACAGAACCTTATGCACGGCTGAGCAGACTCAGACAAAAGAAAGCCTTGCATTTCATCGGGCCTACAGGGCCCTATGGAACCATGCTTCGGTAGGCACCGCAAGGCCCCATTGCGCAGTGGTTGCCAGGCGCGCCGCCTTCTGCAGCAAGAGGATGTCAGCCTTGCAAGGACCTTGTGCGAACCGTGCAACAACGAATATATACAATGTAAACGTGGAGTCGATTTGCCGATGCCTGGTTCTCTTTGCCAGGTGTTCAGTCAAAGTTGCACACTTGCACTCAGAATGCGACGAGATTGAACTGACACTATCATTCTCCAGCTCTCAGCATTGCAAGGATGCCGCTTCAAGCACACGATTTCAATGCACGATGATCTCTCGACTGCAAGCCCACCAGCCAGAAACTGGAGAGAAGTCGACGCTTGCGATCCGAAGCCAAGAACCCCTGGAGCTCGTGAAAAGCAGATCTCCCCAAACTCCAAACTCCAAACCCTTGAACCCGGACTCTTGAAGCCTAAGCCCTATAAAACCCCACAACCTCAAAGCTCCAGGAGTTTGCAGGAGTCCCTGGATAGGTGCGCCGAGCTCGAGGCGGTTTCCAAGGGTATTTTTGAGATCATGGGTGGGTGATGAGCCTCTGTGCTGTGGACGGACAGCTTAGGGTGATCAGGGTTGGAACTTGGGGTTTCGGGGTTATTTGTAGGCCAGCTGCCCAGAGACAGCTAACGTTTTTATTTGTGCTGTTGTTATACTCCTTGTGACTGCCAGGAGGGTTTTCGTTCTCTGACTTGCAACTTTTCTGGGGGCGTTGCCGGGCTCAGCAGGCGAAATGCCGCAACCATGACAAGGAACACATGAAAGCCCCTTAGAAGAGGCGATCTAGTTCAGTCGTCTACACTTTATGGTAGGGGTTTATGTTGGTGGAAGCTTCCAAGCGTATAACTAGACAGCGACAAGAGCCAAGCCTCATTTGACCATGCCAACTAGGGCCGCGCCCACAGAGCGAGAAAGCGATGAGCCATGGAGGAGTGGGGCTTCAGTGCCGGAGATGAAGTTGAGCTCAGGCCCGCGAGAGTGAGGTAGAACTGTAGAACGACATCATGTTGAAACCAATGCAGGAGGGAAAATTACAAGGAATCGAATCGTCATAGCATTCCTACAGTAGTATCAGTATGACTACACCAGTATCTAACCCTAAACCCTAATATTGCCATGATGGTAGTGTTGCAGACTCAGGGGCTTGTCAAAGCTGGAGCTCAATGGCCAGCGGGGCACCGTCTTGCCCCTGGAATTCCCGGAGCAGGCCTGTTTAGGGTTCAGGTTTAGGGTTTAGGGACTAGGGTTTAGGGATGAGGGTTAGGGTTTTAGGTTTCAGCTTTAGGGTTTAGGGTATGCCTCGAAAAACCACCCTGATGTCGATGTCTTGAAAGGCGCAGCAGCTGGGGCGACTGGCGGTGATGCTGCACTCCGGCAAGCAGTCGTGGCCCCGGCGCGTCCCGGTTCATGGAGAAACGAAAGCCAATGCGTCGAAATATCGGCTCTGCGACTTGGGCTCCCGAGGCTGTCTCTAAAAGTGGGGAATCTGCACAAGGTCAAAGCCGAGATCAACACAGGAGGTGCTTCTTGCACGGCTTGGCCCGCCTTCCACATTCGCTCTCGCTTCGGGGGAGTTTCTCTGCCACTTTGCCAGGAGACCTTGGAGCGGAATGGTCTGCCTCTCTGCACCCTGGTGCATCACGGCCCCTGCGCGCGGCGGCCGCTCCGGGTCGGGAGCTCGTGGTCGGGGGCCTCGGAAGAGCTCCAGTGACTCGGGAGTTCGTCTTTTCTTTCGCTTTGAAGGTCATGACCCTGAACATGCAGTACCTTGCGAGCTTTCCCCAGGACCCGACTCTTGCAAGGCCGTGGCATCCCGCAACTCTCTGTGCCGTAACACCTTCCCATGGGCAGGCGTCGGCTGGTTGAGATCACGTCTACAGTGCCGCGCCCTGACGTAATCTGCGTGCAGGACATCGGACAGCATGGGGGGCTTTCCTTACAAGCCTTAGAGTCTTAGAGTGCAGGCAGATACTGAGATCCTTGCTTGACAGGAAGGCTTGGAAGGGATCGACCTTTTCGGCCAAGCTCGGCACCCAGCATATCTTCTACTGTAGCCTCAGAGCCTGCTTCCTTCCCCCTCGCCCTCGTGTTTGCCAAGTTCGGAATGTTGACGTTCCCATGACACGCACTTGCTTCGGAATGCCTGCTTCTGTTCAGCAAGGTTGGGTCTTTTGGGTGACCGGATGTTCACCGTGTAAGCGCCTGAGTGCTTCTATGCTCGTCGGTGCCTCCCGAGGTCGGTTACAGCAAGCTCATCTCCTCGGCCGTAAAGGCCCTGGGGGCGGTGCACGCTGCATGGTCTGTGCATCCCCAGAACTGTGAGAGTGCTCGACAACATCTCTAAACCTCGACAACAGTACGAAGCAGCCGAGAAGGCTGTGTGTCGATGTGGGGGCTTCGATTAGATGAAGCAGCTTGTTCCGTGACGCTGCTCGAGAATGTCGGCGGATTCGCGATGTGAATACAATAGCTACCATAACACTACAGTGTACAATAATATACCATAATATACTGAAAGATATTAGAATATACCATAACGTACTACAACAAGAACTATGATATGAAGAAACAGTCTCCACGGAGCTCGTGGCAGGCGCAGCCGCTGCGCGAGTGTCTTTACGACGACCCCGGGGCCCTGGGAGTTTTGGCCCCGGCTTTTTTCGGGGCTTTGGGAGAGGGTTTCACCTTCAGAGGATCATGGATTCTCCCCTAAACCCGAAACCCTGAACACCCCTAAACTCTAAACCCTAAACCCCTAAGCCCTAGGGTCCCCCGGCGGCTTTTCGACTCTTTTTCTGTCCTGGCGGACTTGCGAGGCCGTACCTTCAGTGGCTCATGAGAGCCTCATGGTCAATGAGCCGGAGCCTCAGGCTCCAGGCTCCGACATCTGGGGAGTTTTGAAAAATAAGGTCCCTTTTAGGGGTCCTTTGTACAAGGGTGCTGTACTATTTTTGGGGACCTAACGAGGGATTCTAATTTAGAGAATTACCTTAGTATAATAGTTACCACAATACTACAGTGTACTATAACTTACTATAGTGTACCAAAGTATACTGCAATTCATTATAGCCTATAGTATACCACAGTATACCGTAATATAACATACCATAAAGGAACTGTAATCTACTATAATATGTTCGAATATACTATAGTAGACCAGTCTGTTTCTATAGTATACTATACTGTTTTACAGGATATTGTAGTACACTATAAGGCACTGATGTGTTGTGCTTCTCTGCTTGTCTTGCTCAACGGCCAGCAAGTCGCAGGCTGTACCTGCGAACTGACGACTGCCTTTGGGAAGCTCAGTCGTCGGCGGCTCGGTCCATGTCTCATGCGAAGCTGTTAAATATGTGCTGTAAATTATGTGCCCTGGCCCCAGAGTGTCGAGCAGCCCCCAGCGCCGCTGCTGCTGTTGCTGGTCTTGTCATGTCTGAACTCTTATCAGGACAGGCGTGGACCAGATATCCTCCCCGTCTTTGATAGTTGCGCACGGCCAGAATCTCAGTGCTCCTCACTGCCTGGACAAAATTCTCAAAGCCTATATTAAACCATAAACCCTAAACCCTATGTTGCAATATGAATTTAAAGTAAAGTTATCTTTTAGCATATTCTGCGACCCAGGTGGCGGCGAGCAAGCTCTTGTTGCTCGGTCGGCGGTGTGGGCCCGGTCCTGCCCCCGGAGTCAGCAGGAGTTTTCATAGTTTTTTGGGGAGATACGATATACCATATACTATAACAACTTTCTATAGAGGATATACAATATACTACATACTATATACTATATACTAGATTCTGGATACTATACACTATATGGTACGGTGCTGTACTATTAGGGCGGCTTGGGCTCTTTATGTCACGAGTTCCTGTTAGGAGGTTCATGTGGGGTCCTAGATGCCTAGTTGTGCTTCGCCGTCGCACCCCGCACGCGCCCCCTCGTAAGCTGTTTTGGTCAATGAAAGCAAGCTTTGGCCTTTCGCCAGTACTTGGAGCCCTGCGCCATGTGTAAGAGCATCGAGCTGCCCCTGGCCGAGAGTGCGGCTTCTTCTGAGCTCCGCCCAGGCAAGGGAAACAGCCCTCAAAGAATCGCAAAATCTTGCGAAGCCTGAAAGGTCGGGAGAAAGAGAAGAGCGCAGCCACAGCCACTCCAGAAGCTTCGCCTGATCCACGTCCTGAAGAAGAGCATCTTCGCTGAATCTTTGGCCCAGCTTCTTGGCAGGGTTTTGCTGCTGCTTTGGGTCGCCCATCCATGCGATACGATACTCTACTATAGTATGCACTACATCATGTTATACCATACGACACTGTGCTCTGCCATGCTTTACTGTACTATACTGTACTATATACTATACTGTACGAGACGGTCCTCACACTGCTATACCCTTGGGTTTCTGAAAGGATGGAGTGCCACCTTCGCCACAGCCGAGCCTCCACCGCTCAGAGGGGCCTAGCGGAGCTTCGGCAAAGCCAGTTACAGCTGGCGGGGAGCTTAGACCGGAGGATCGAAATGGATCACTCAACCTGCATATTAATATACAGATAGTTATAGCAGATTATAGCAAGAATAGTAAGAAGAACAACAGCAACAGTAGTGCTGGTAATAACCATGGTAAGAAGTATCGTAGGAATCACAACAGCATCAATAAACATGTATGCCAGCGGAGATCCCCAAACAGCTTCCCGCAAACATGCCACTAGGACCAGAAAGTCACGACCACTGTCACATGCGAACGGGCCTGATTTGTGTGGGAAAACCCGGTTCGCAACTAGTTACCATTCGTGTATTTTTCCAACATCCGCGATCTGGTACCACGAGCACTGCGACCGGGACGACCACGACGACCAGCACCAGGAGACCACCAGATCGTAATCGTAATCGTATACCTAAAACGGTTAGTAGTAACATCCATAAACAAGCAAGCAAAAATCCCATGCTGCTAATCATAATGAGCAAGATCATAATAGTCATACTAGTCTAAAGGTTCATAGAAGCCACAATAATCAATGAGTAAGTGCATAAACACAGGGCCATATCTATCCATCTCTCTGTCTGTCTGTCTGTCTGTCTGTCTGTCTGTCTGTCTGTCTGTCTGTCTGTCTGTCTGTCTGTCTGTCTGTCTGTCTGTCTGTCTGTCGGTTTGTCTGCCTATTGATCTGTCTGTGCATCTGTCGATTATCTATCTATCTTTCTCTCCGTCTAGTGATGTATCAATCCATCTCGCTGTCGATCTGTCTATCCGTCTGTCTGTATCTGTCTATCTGGGTATGTATCTATCTATCTCTCTGTCTGCCTGTCTATCTATCTCTCTCTGTCTGTCTGTCTGTCTGCCTATCTATCTATGTAAAATCTAATTCAGATGTATCTATCTAAAGTCTATCTGTTTAGCTAGAATCTATCGGTCTAAAGTCTATCTATCTAAATTATCTATCTATCTACCTACCTACCTATCTACCTATCTATCTATCTATCTATCTACCTATCTATCTATCTACCTATCTATCTACCTATCTATCTATCTATCTATCTATCTACAAACTCGGGTAGCCATACAAGAAGTACTCAGGTGCAATCAGCGGCTTCCCTGACATGATGGCCTTCATCCATGCCCCCTTGGAAGGTGCTTCGGGTTCGAAGTGCCCCAAGGCGGAGGCAAAGGAAGTCGTACGGAGGATTCCTTGAGGCTCAACGTCAAGCTCGGCCCCATCGTAGTACATTACTTCATTAAAGTACATTACGATATAGTGTAGTATATTATAGTATATTGGGGTATATCATAATATATGATAATATATTACAATATACTATAATTTTTAGTAGTATGTTATAGTACATTATTGAAAGGGCCTTGAGCTGGGGCTGAGCTGGGCCGTAAGGCCCGCATCAGATTCGTGTTTTTTTCTATGGCAGGGCGTGCCTGCCCTGGCCAAAGTACGATAGTGCTTGTAATCAAGCTTGGGTTGCAAGGCACGTGAATTTTTTTCGAGCAGCACCAGCTAATGCCAGCAAATCAGCCTACCTTGCAAGCTTCGCTTGAGACTGGCACCAACTCCAAGGGTGGGTCGCATGGGGTGACAGCGGGCATCGATTCTGCGAGCATCCTGCTGTCGTTTACGACCGGTGTGGCATCCAGGGAACTGGGAACTCACGTGCCTGCGAAGAACAAGTTTTGACAATGAAGGCTTGTATGTCTTGAGATTTTATGCTAATCGAAGGGCACCTGCAGATACCTGCAGCTGACGGGACCCGGACAGCTGCTTTTTGACCTTCCCTGGGTTGCACGTCCCACGGCCGCTTGGACATGGAAGCGGCACAATCCGTAGAGGTTGACAGGTCAGTCATCACGTCACAAGATGGGCTTAGCTGCAGCTTTCTGCTGGGGTGTGGAGCTGCAGAGCAACGTCAGCCCTAAACACGGGTCGAGCCAGAAAGTCCTGAAATCTGGGTCGACGCTGTTCGCTCAAGCTTACGAGAGCCATCCAGGAACTCGTCTTGCTGCAAGCCCCCCGGCCAGCTGAAATCAGAGCTGATAAACATACTCAGCATAGCATCCAGCAGGGACATGCCGGACGGAACTTTGCAAAGAGGCTGCAACCTTGGGTCCAACCCAAGCAAATTCAGAATTCGGAGCCCAAGAGAGCACGAGTTTAGTGTGCTGGCTTCTTGGTCCCCTGAGCAGCAGCCAGTTGTGGCTACTCGTAACGGGACTTCTCGTGGCACTCGGGAGACCGACGGTGCCACCATGTCGGCAGGTGACTGCTTTGTGCAGGTGCCGCAACTCAAGGAGGGATGACCAACAGTGACAGAGGATCAAGAAGAGATTTGCGGCATGTGTCACAGGCAGAGCTGCGTGGTGATCAGAAGGCTTGTCCCGAGGCCATGACTTTTGTTGACTCTTTTCGACTACAGGCCCGAGGGAACCATTGCCGCATCAAATGCAGCACACCATGAGTAACAAAGGCATTGTCTCTGCTTTCACACGGCCAGATTTATTCCTGCGGCCTGTAATTCAGATTGAAGTTAGCCTCCCCCTGCCTGCTGCATACCCGTGGCAGGGGCAGGTCAGTCTTTTCCGACTCGGCAACTTGCGAAGAGGAGCAATAAAAGAGAAGCGGCGCAGGTCCGGAAATGACAAATGCAGACAACACTGCCGTGGCAGCAGCAGCGGTAGAGCAGCGTCGTCGTCATCGTCTGCGCAGTGGTAGGAGCAGGAGGAGTAGCGGTAGTCGTAGAAGTAGTTGTAGGAGGAGAAGAAGACGTAGTAGTAGCAGTAGCAGCAGTAGTAGTAGTGGTAGCAGCAGCAGTATTGGTGGTAGTAGAAAGTGGTATAAGTAGTACACAGTCAGCAGTAAGCAATAAGTAGTCTGCAGTAAGTAGTAGAATGTAGAAAGTAAGCTGTTTGTAGTTTGTAGTTGGTGGTTAGTGGTTAGTGCAGAGTGGTTAGTAGTACTTAGGTAGTAGTTAGTGGTTAGCAGTTGTTAGTTATGAATTAGCAGCTAGTAGTTCACAGTTAGTAGTTCGTAGGCAGTGGTTAGTAGGTAGGAGGTAGTAGTAAGTAGTAGGTAGTAGGTAGTAGGTAGTAGGTAGTAGGTAGTAGGTGGTAGGTAGTAGGTAGTAGGTAGTAGCAGTAGCAGTAGCAGTAGCAGTAGCAGTAGCAGTAGTAGTAGTAGTAGTAGTAGTAGTAGTAGTAGTGGTAGTAGTATTGGTAGTAGTAGTAGTAGTAGTAGTAGTAGTAGTAGTAGTAGTAGTAGTAGTGTATTGGTGGTGGCGGTGGTGGTGGTGGTGGTGGTGGTAGTGGTAGTGGTAGTGGCAGTGGTAGTGGTAGTGGTAATGGTAGTGGTAGTGGTAGTGGTAGTGATAGTGGTAGTGGTGGTGGTAGTGGTAGTGGTGGTAGAAGTAGTAGTGGTGGTGGTAGTAGTAGTAGTAGTAGTAGTAGTAGTAGTACAAGTAGTAGTAGGAGTAGTAGTAGTAGTAGTAGTAGTAGTAGTAGTAGCAGTAGCAGTAGCATTAGCAGTAGTAGTAGTAGTAGTAGTAGTAGTAGTAGTAGTAGTAGGTCGTAGTCGTAGCAGTAGTAGGAGCAGGAGCAGGAGCAGGAGCAGGACTAGGAGCAGGAGTCGGAGTGCTGCAGCAGCAGCAACAGCAGCAACAACCACGCACCGTCACAGCTTTTTGTTTCATGGAAACCAGCTTGCCCCAGCAAAGGCTTGGATTGAAGGGCTCCACCGAGGCCCAGCGGAGACGGGTGATAAAGGGGTGGATTGAACGAGTTTTGAGCATTCTGGATTACAGTTAAGGGCTCTTCATGCTACAACATCGCCGGGTCCTTGGCCACGACCTTCCGGCACCTCTAGTTCTCATCTCTGCTTTAGACCTGAAGTTCCTGAAGTGCAATTTTGCAGCTTGCAGGGGCCGTTTGTTTACGTGCTGAACACGCAGCTGAGCTTGGATGCCAAGAGGTATGTGTGCCCGATCACGTGTCCTTTGGCAATTGCGCGTTCAGGGAGACATTTCAGTTCGAACGCACTAAATAAAAGAAACAGCAGACCGACATGAAACTATGGTCTGGGCAGTCAGAGGTGGCTTTATTTTATGATGGAGAAGGGTGGACACAGGTACAGAGACGCAAACTAGGAGATGAGCATCCAAAGGCTTCTGTGTGCCTGAGCGTCAAAGCCTGCATTGAAGCACCCATCATGCAAGCAAGTGATTATGCACAAGTAAAGAGAGCAAGCATGCACAAGCGAACGTCACGTGCGCGCATGCCTTCATGAAACCAAGCTCTCAGGCACAACACTCACTGACTCACTCACTCACTCACTCACTCACTCACTCAGTCAGTCAGTCAGTCAGTCAGTCAGTCAGTCAGTCAGTCAGTCAGTCAACCAATCAATTCACCAACCAATCGCTCACTCAATCAATCGATCAATCAAGCAATCAACCAGTGAAGCGCAAGCAAGCGAGCACGACGAGCAATAACTTACGCATATTAATTAGCGGGTGAGTAAGTATGTGAGGTAGTGTTCAAGCCAGTGATTGAGGAAACTAAGGGGTTGGGTGAGCAGGTTCGCAATCCGGTGATAGTAAGGGTTTTGACAGGGCCTGATCAGCCTAGCAGTTTAGGCTGTTCGCTTGAAGAGGCTGTTGCGTCGCTTGCATCTGGTCAGTGCCAAGTGATTCAAACTGGGAAGCTGAGGCGGCTCCCGGATCGAGGACTCGCAGCCTCACGAACTGTGAAACCCTGAAGTTGACAGAGTGTAGAGTCTATCGGTGGAGGACGAGTTGTTCCTGTCGCAGCTTGGTGATGAGAGGACTGTCGACACCCTGCGTAATGAGAGTGAGCACTTGTGTTGAGCTCAAGCTGTTCGGACTGGAAAGCTGAATACGACATCCTCAGTCCTAGACCCTCCTTGATGCCTGCAGGCTCAAGCACCCATCATGTCGCCAAAACCCCGCCGCGATCCTCGGAATGGAAGCAGCGCAGGGCCGTAGAGCCATGGGCTTGCTCTTTGAACCGGAAGAAGACGTAGAGGAGGCAGAGTGGAGTGGATTGGGGGAAAGCCGTGGTGTGCCAAAGTCGCAACCTCTGTGCAGCGCCGTCCAGGGTCTCAAAGTTGCGAGCCTCTGCATCCTGGCCCTAGCCATCGCAGGTCTCTTCCTTTCAGGTCCATCTTCCAAGCAGACGAGCCGCTTTAGACCAGACCTTCTTGCAGAGTACGAGAAGGGACACCATGAGTCCAAGTCAGCTCCGGCACAGATGGATGTCGGTCCGGCTTCCTTGCTTTGGCAGTGCTTTTCAGGGTCTGTTCCCACTGCCTGCAGCACCTCCTTTGCCAGCAGCTTTGCCTGCTTGCTAATCTCCGCTTTCTTGTGCCTCTGTCTCATGGCGATGAACTTCTCAAAGCTGGAGCCCGGGTCGGGCGAGCACGCTCAGGTCAACGAAGAGCTGAGGCTGCTTGGCCACTTCTCTTTCTCCACTCATCACATGAACTCCCGTGAGCCAGATCACGATGCCAAGCAGAGGATGCAAAGATCCTGGGATGTCTCTACCAGAGAGAACCTCCCGATTCTGGAGCAGCTTTCGAAGATCATGAACCGCCATCCGGCCTTTCGATTCCGGCTCAAGGGCATCTCCTATGGAAATGGTGAGATCAGTCAGCGCACGGAGTCAGCCTTTTACGAAGACTTTCACAATTCCTTCCCGCAGGAGCGGATGGACTGGTTGCAGCCATACGCGCACGCGCGCGCCCTGAGCCTGAAGCGAGCGCTAAACCAGCGCGGCATCTCCTACGAGCGGTTGCACACGATGGTTCAGGCAGGCGAGGCCAACACAATAGTGGTAGAGGCCTTCCTGTAGCGGAATAAAAAGATGTCTCACCGGTTTCACCACCGGATCTGGGTGACCGAAGGAAGCGGCATTGCCCAGAACACGTCTGTCGTTCGCAGTGCGTCTGGCAGTTTGCGTGCACTCGTACGGTTGAAGACACCCTGTTGTTGCAGTAGGGCTCAAGAGCAGAGGGCCTAGGTCAAGCGCTCGGTGTGAATGGCTTTTTCTCGTGCCCCGACCTTGGTAGCGCAGATCCGAGTACGACTCCGTAGTCAGGGACAGGTGGTTGGCCTGAGGTATTGGCTTTCTCGGCACTGGCTTCGGCCGTGGCATCCTCCCTTTATGATCTATCCGCAGTAGATATCGACGGAAAGAAGATTCCCCTCGGCTTGGAAGGTGCGAGTGTAGGCTGCTTGGTCATCTTGTCGGACAGGCTTGGACAGTGCAACTCTGCAGATGGACAGGTAACATCAGCGTCGTCATCAATGTGGCGACCAACTGAGGCTTCACGAAGTCCAACTATGAAATGCTGACGCGACTTCAGAAGAAGTATTCTGACAAACCCGCCTCTCGCTTGTACAGGAAGCCAGCCCACCCACATTGCTTAGTATCCATGCTCATACTGACAATGACAACAGTAATAATAGTGCTCACAAATCATAACCATGGGACCATGAGGATAATCCATAATTATGAGGACAATATTGGAAGTGTCGCTCAAGACACCCTCTTGCACCCAGGTTCGCTTTCTTCTGTTCCCGTGCAACCAGTTTGGAGAACAAGAGCCTGGCACGAACGCCGAGATCAAGAAGTTTGCGGAGCAGTATCTTGGTAGCAGAGTAGGTAGAGTAAGTAACCCCCTAACCTTTTGGGTCCTACAAACCTTTATGCTCTGAAAAACCGGACAAGTAAGGTATGTTGCTCTGGCCAAGAACGGTGGGGATAGCAATGCATCTTGGATTTCGTTTTGGGGGTCCATGAGAGTGCGCCACGAGCAGCCACAGTCTGGATCTCGCTCTTTTCGGGGCCCGCAGCTGTATTTTGTTCAGCTGTCGTCGGTTCCATGTTTGGAGTGCTGGTAGGTCCGAAACACGATCCATACTCTAACATGTGTGACCTTAGAAAACGGTTGCCTTCAAGGTGATCATGTTTGCAAAGTCGAACCTCAACGGCGTGGCCTGCACGTACTCTGGCGAAGATGCGTGCATGCCAGGGTCCAAGGAATGCTGTGCCGAGAATGATGCCGTATATACGTATTTGCTTGCGAACACGCCGCCGGGAACTATCTCCTGGAACTTCGACAAGATCCTTGGCTGCACGGTGGCATGTGCATTGGATTTCGGCTGCTGTTGCTTCATGGGTAGCAAGCAGAAGAAAAATAGCACAGCACCCATTGAACTCCCAGGCATGAGTCAGTAAAGGGAATTTCCGAGACTTTCAAATCACTCGAAGTTGTAAGCGCATCCGCTTCCATGATAGGCTCCCTCGCTGTGATGTTAATTTTTTTATGTATTTAGGCACACAACATGTTGAGACTTCTCGGTTTTCTATGGTTGGTCTGCGCGAAAGATGCTTGAGCTTTTGGGGCCATGTTATGGAAGGCGGTCGACACCGCACAGGCTCTTGACATGACGGCTTTCGTGTTTTTGCGCTTGACAGGATCATGACGGACTTGTCTGGCAAGCCCTATGCCGGCGAAGTGATTATGTGCCTCGACGGTTTTCTAGATCCTTTCGCTGTTTGGCTACTCTGAATGCCACAAGAATGCAGCAGGCACGGTGGTGATGTCGATGCAGCCGTAAGCAATGTTGTGGACAGCTTGCTGGAGGCAGGCCCTCATGCACTTGGCTTGTTTCCTTGCATCAAGGATTTGGGAACTAGGCTCCAGCATGGTTCATACTTTTCTCGCTGCAAGTGCCTTGAAGAGCAGGGTGATGCGCCCAACTTGGTGGCGCTTCCCGATGCTGCAACCAACCTTGGCCCGGTGCTGGCCTTGGCTGCGGCAGGCTAGGCTTCTGTTGCATTCTGAACTTCAGTGGCAAGCCCGGGCTGATAGATATATGAACATAACACAACTGGAGTGCAGCAAAAAGCGTAGTACAACATGATATATTAAGATAGCTTGGTATAACCTAATCTAATCTAGCCTAGTATACTAATATAAGATAGTACAATATAACATAATCTGTTTCAATGTAGTATAACACAACATAAAATAACATAATATAATATACTAAACTTAATGCAATGCATAACTTCATATTATATAGTTTGTAATATTATATAACCGTAATAAGAGCATGTTCTATTCCAATTTTCTGGTCTGTTCTATTACATTAGGTCACATGGTATAGTAGCTAGTACAGCGCACACACACACACATACACCTATACATACATACACGTACATACATAC